CTTCTCACCCCTCTTGTTCCTACCTGCCGTCCGCTGATTCAGGGTATCAACGTCCCCGCGGCCCGGTCTCTGACCAGGCCTCCTTTTTGTTAGCTCCCCCCCCCAGGAAGCAGCCCGTAGCAGCTGTCTAACTCACAGGTACCTATTTACTGATAGGTAACAGGGGCATCAGGATGAAAGAAACATTTTACCTATTTGTCTCCGCTTCCACCAGGGATCGAACCCTGAACCTCAGGACTACGAATGCGAAGCGCTGTCCATCCAGCTGTCAAGCGCGTGATAGGCGGGTTAGGGTGACAGCTAATATATGGTTCAATTTCGGTCACATTCATACAGAATTCGTTTGGATCATGTTCAATGTGTTCAGGTGTTTACTGAAAGCTGAATCGTACTGCGGCTTCAGTATTTCACTCATTTCTTTGTCATCTGTAACAGTTGCACCACTTTGCGCAAGGGACCACTGAGCCTCCAGTTGTTCTATATTTTGGATGTCTCTGTATTTTACTTATGGCAGCTTGCTCTCTCTGCGTCTCCGGGAGTTTATATGATTTTTGCAGTTTGAGCTCCGTCATTTATAGTTATCTACATTGTCTTCCTCGTCGTAGTTGGGATAGAGTGTTTGAGGTGTTCTGTGATTTGTTCTTCGCCTAAAGAGGAAACGCCGTTCTCGCTCCAGTTTGCATCTTTTCTCTTTCTTAGTGTTATGTGCCGGCTAAATATTACCAGTACTAGTGCGCCTATGTTCTCGAAGCACTGGTTTAAGTGTGCACCTACCTGTTCTTCCCAGCATATTTCTGCAGGGGAGAACAGGTTTATTCTTGGCTTATTCCTTCCCAGTCAGTCAGTTTTTTATTCAAACTTAACTTGTTGAGTTCTCCTCTTGGACTATTTCTCATGCTTGTCTGAACTTCGATTAGTGATCTAAGTAACATGTATTTGTAATCATTATTTCCCCTCATCAGTTCACCATTGTTAGTAAAAATAAGGTTTAGGGAGTTTTCTTGGTGGTTCTGCTGTTTGCTGGTTCAAAGCAAGTCTGTCACACGTCTGCAAGAAGTCATTAGTGTGTAACTGCTCAGTCACGCTACTTCCTGGGGATTCTCTCTGCTGTAACAGTAACTGCCACATTTTTTCCATTTTAAATGTCTTAAGTTCCCTTCCAATACTATTCCACAACCCTTTGTTTAACTCGGTCTCCCTCCCATTAATCCACTCCCTTAACATTTTCCTCTCCCTACTTCATACACCTTTCCTATTAACTCTCCCACATCTCATCCCGTGGCTCAATCACCGCATGTTTCCTTTCACCTGATGCATCTGTTTACCTATTGTATTACCCGAGAATTAGTCAACTGTTGTGGGTTGCAGGCTGGTGAAGGTCGGTTGTTGACCTGAGATGTGTGTGGGGTGGGGGTGGGGGGGGGGGGGGGACGTGGAAAAGCTAAACATGGTTGCTATCACCAACAATGGTAGAGCACAGTGTGACGTGCCCTGCCCACCCATAAGGGGAGTTAGCACCCCTGCCACCACCACACCCGCCCCACGCACGCACACACACACACACACACACACACACACACACACACACACACACACACACACACACACACACACACACACACACACACTCTTTCATTCTCCTAACCAATTATTCTTGCAATCTCTTCCTGTTAATCTCCGCCTCTCACCCTCCGATTCATTCTCTCTCTGCCCTTCTAACTTTCTCTTTGTTCTCTCTCTCGTTCCCTACTCCTCCTCCTCCTTTTTTCCAGCTTCCCACTCTCTCTCCATTTTCCCTTCCTTGTTTCCAGCATGTTGACTACCGCCTTCTACTGCCCGCGTGCACTTCTCCCCCTCCCCCCTCCACCACCTTGGGTCACAACCTTCTCGCAGTACTGGGGACTGTGAGCTCCGGCAACCTGGAGGAAACACCAGTGTAGCCCCAGGGTGTTGTCTCCTCCGGTTTGTCTCGCCCCATTGCGGAGTTCAGATAAACTCTTGAGTTACGTACACAGTGCTTAAGGAATATTTGTTTACCCTTCCCTCTTCCTCTACATCTGTATCCTCCCCTCCTCCTCTTTCTCTCTTTCTCCCTCACACTCCTTTCTACTTCTCCCTTGTGCCCTCATTCTCCTCATATTACTGACTCCTCTACACACCTCACTCACTCACTCCCAATTTGCAATCAATCTCCACCACGGTCTAACCCTTAATTATCATGCCTGTCTTGTCTCTCCCACTCTTTGTTGTTCCTTCCTGTCTCTCGTACTAGAGGGAGAGAGAGAGAGAGAGAGAGAGAGAGAGAGAGAGAGAGAGAGAGAGAGAGAGAGAGAGAGAGAGAGAGAGAGAGAGAGAGAGAGAGAGAGAGAGAGAGAGACCATCCACCACACACCTCTCTCATACACCGCACAATGATGAAAACACCCAATTTAGGGCATT